GCCTGGCAGCCACACTGCAGCAGCTCGCCCATGGAGCAGGCCTGCGTGACTGCATGGCTGGCGCCTGCCGCCGTGATGGCAAAGACGAAGGCGGTCTCCCGGATGTCTGTGGGGACAGGGAGGAGCAGTCAGCACAGCATCAAAGCTGAGTCCTAGGGGACTGTGGTGGGCAGGGCAGTGAGGTGGGGCTGGAAGACAGGGTCGGGGCAGGGTGCCCAAAGATTTGTGGGAGAGGTGGGGCTCCGGCAGCCTCCCCAAACCTCCACCCTCTCCTCTGAGCCCGGAGGTTCCCTCCTCACACTGACCCTGCTGCAGGATGCGCCCAAAGGCCTTGCTGTGGCTCGAGCAGTTCCAGCGGCGGAAACGGAACTGGAACTGGCACTCTCGAACCCCAAGCCGGGCACCCCGCGCCAGCTCAGCCACCACTTCCGGCTCCTCCTGGCACAACTCAGCCTGCCGCCCTGCCAGCCTCCGTGCTTTCCTGCAGATACTGGTGGGGTCCATGACCAAGGGGCTGCCCACTGCCCTGGGAAGCAAAACACAGCAAATCAGGGGTGTAACTCCAAGGGTTGGGGGTGACAGAGAGGGAGACCAACACCCCGCCCCCCTCAGCCCACCACCAACTAACATTGAGCCAGGATACGCCTCCAGGAGCCAGGATACGCCTCCCACCACCACCAACTAACATTGAGATTCTCCTATCTGGTTCCCCTGCCATTCCATCCATGTCTGTGTTCCCTTTTAACTAGAGTCTAGACTGAAATCACTGTAGAGCAAGAATTCAATCTTGTCCTTCTATGCACATTTTTACTAATAAATCCTTATATAATTTGACTCAAGGTGAAGGCCGCTGGCAGCAGGTAGGCCAAGACTAAAATTCAACAGGCCTTGCCCAAAAGGAGACAAGGAAGAAATTAACAGAAGGAAGATCAAGAAGGTTGTCAAAGAAAAGAAAAAGATTTTAGAAAAAGATCAGAAAAGAACTGGTCTTAGTGGACCACAAGCTGATGTGTCAGCTGAACAGTCCTGATGCTAGAAAGGCATGGGCAATTCCAAGGGATATAGAAAGCCATCTGATGTTAGAATGGCTGGGGAATGGAGCCTCTGAGGGAAGTCACACTCCCTCTCCAGCCCAAGTTTCTCATTCTGTACAATGAGAAGGATGGGCTTTGATCTCTAAGGTGGGCCCTCCCACCCTGAGATCCTCTGTTTCCCTGAATTGGAGAGCAGGAAGAAGGAGCTGGGGGCTGAGTCTCTGAAGCACTATGAAGCAGGTGACAGTGACCCTTCTCCTACTCCAGGAACTGTGGCCTTTCCAGAGCAGCAGGGCAGCAAGCCAAGCCCTATGCACTGGGGTGACATAACTGATTGGAGAAGGGGGACCCTGAGAGGTGGGGAAAGACCTCATGGGAAGCTCCACACACTTTCAGAAATCCCTCCATTCCCACCACCATGCTGGCTCCCACACACATTCCCAGCCTTCATTCTACCATGTGGTCTCCACACCAGGCCCGTGAAGGTTAACTTGGCTGGGTATTCACACCTGGGTGAAAGGGCTTTCATCAGATTGCTCTTATTTGAATGCTTAACTGGTATGCCTGTCTTGTAGGAATGAGTGAGTTGAGCACTTGGGAGCTGAGGGTAATTTGAGACCACTCAAAAACCCTTCACAGAGGGCAGAAAAAGACTCTCTGGGCGGGGAGAGAAAAGTGGCATCAGGAAATAGAAAATGTAGAGGAAAATGGTGGTAGATAGGTGCCAAAGGTCAAGGTGGCCTCTTTTCAGTTTAGCTTCAGTGTACTCCACCCCCACTGTCCCCATTTGCTCCACAAGTACAGGCTTCCCAGGCATGTTCTGGCCCAACAACAATGAAATGTAATGGGCTTAAATAGCAGCAAGAGGAATTTAGGTCTTAAGATAGAACTTAACACTAAGGAGTGAGATGCTTGAAGAAGAGGTGGTTGCAGGAAGATGTGTAAGTCCTTTAAGGTCACACACACACACACACCACCCGACAGATCATTGTTATCATCCTTTTCCAAGTAGTCCAGGAGCCAGCGTTCTCTCCTCAGTGGAGAGACTTATAGTCCAGACCAGCGATTTTTCAACCTGTGTGCAGTAAGAATTTTTAAAACATGCAATACCTGACTATTGAGCCATAGCACTGACCTCTTTTCCCTTAGATTATTAAACAAAAAAAATGACAACAGCCAACACAACAATAGTTGTCTGGTATGAATGAATCAAAATTATACCTAATTTTTTGGGTCAGATTGACACATTTTTGGTGTGCTGCAGAACTTTAGTAATTAGTTTATGTGTGCCATGGGATGAAAAAGGTTGAAAATCGCTGGTCCAGACCTTCCCTCCTCCATGCTTAGGACCTGCCCATCACTGCATTCCAACTGTAGCCTGGGAAGGTCTAGCCCCAATCCTTTCCCAACCCTAGAGAAGTGATGGATGGAGCAGGCCAAGGGTAGGACAGCCAAGCTGGCTCCCAGTGGCTCAGTGACCTTCAAGAATTTTAGGTGCTTCAAGAATTGATTTCTACTGCCCAGTGTGGCTCAGTGGTTGAGTGTTGACCCATGAACCAGGAGGTCACAGTTTGATTCCTGATCAGGGCACATGCCTGGGTTGTAGGCTCGAATCCCCAGTGTGAGGTGTGTTTCTATCTCTCTCTTCCTTCATCTCTGAAATCCATAAAAACATTTTTTTAATTTTAAAAAGAGTTGACCTCTATCTATTTATCTATCTATCTATCCTCACCTCCAGCCACTTATTTCACCTCATTACAAAAAGAATTTGAGGCAGCTTCCAGTAAGGTCATATAGGGTCAGCAGATAAGACTATAAGCACCTTGAGAGCTAGAAGCGTCATTTTCTTTTTTCTCCTAGGCAGATTTTAAGGTGCTTAATTCATATTTCCCCTCGATTTTAATGAAAATTTTGCATATTATGAACAATCACTATGATAATACAATGAAAACCATTTAATACATGTTTTTGAATGAATAAATGAGCCATCTAAGGAGAAAAATCTTTACTTGAGCCCAGCCCCTGTCCACATGTCATTTCATGACTCCTAATTGCTTTCCGTAAACATTTTATTTCTCCCACTGGATTCAGAGGCAGGGAAACAGGCCTCCCCAGGCTGTCCAGGTCCTCTCCTGCCACCACATGTCCAGGCCTCCACCTAGGAGTCTGGGGCTCTAAACACTCAACACTCCCCCATGCTACTAAGTTCCCCAGTTCTCCTCCCCAACCCTGTCCTCTGCTAACTCCCTACTTTCCCAAGGTCGACTGGCCTTATCTTCCCAAGGTTACTCTGCCCCATCCCTCTCTTCTCCCTCCTCCTGTCCCAGGGGATGGAGGGGGTATGCAGGGGAGAAAGGCAGAAATCTCTTGACCTTATCTGTTTCCCAGGGGCTAGAGATAGAAGACTCAGAAGGATTCCTGGCTGCCTGGGAACTAGACTTGTTTACAAGCTGGTCAGGAGAAGGGATGGGCAGTAGTAGCAGCCAGAATCCCAAGGGACCAGTTTGCTCCCTGCCCTCCTGTTCTTGCTCCCATCCTAAAGTCACAGGAAAGGGAACTCCAGAAAATGAGTGGCAGGGCAGCATTGGGCAAAACACCGAGCCTCGCTTCAATACCCTGGTCTCTGTCAAATACCCTGGTCTCTGTCAGCTCGGGGTGAGCTGAGCCACTCTGGGCAAGTCGGTTCCCTCTCTGGGTTTCAGAAACATGAGGAGCTCGCATGAAAGGCTCGCATACCCCCTCTGACTTTAACACTTGACTCCACATCAAAAAATAACTCCCCCATCTCTCCTCTTCCTTTACCCTCCTTCCTTCCTTTCTGCTTCCTTAGGGAATGAACTCTGCTATTCATGCTCTGAGTCAGCATTGTCCTGGGATCAGCCCACAGAAGCTGTGCCCGTTTGGGAACATCTGCATGTTTTGGGGGCTGGAACACAAGGTGGTAAGAAATATAGAATATGTAGGGTCTGTGATCCTAATCAAGTAGACATTCCTGGGCATAGAAACAATGAGGCTAGTTTTAAAAGAAATCAGTATGCAGACAAGAAGGGACAAGCCTAGGGTTAGCCATTCTAACTGGCTTGGCCTGCGCCAAAATCTTCCTCCCAGGGCACAACATCTGTAGATCCCGCTCTGGGGGCCCGGAGTCCTGGCCTGCTCTACCTTTCCTTTCCCAGATTCACAGGGCCTAAGAGAATGCCCAAGGTCGTGCAGTCCAGCTCCACCAATCTGACCTCCATTATACAGATGCACAATCTGAGAAGGGAGATGACCAACACTGACCACTCAGCGTGTGTGTGTGTGGGGGGGGGGGGTCTCATTGCAAGAAACTTAGGTAAATATTTTAAAAACCAAAGGGCCAGAGGGAAACGGCCACCAAAAGTATCAGAAGACATTAGGTAGCCTCACATGCCACCCTCCATACAGCCCTTACTCCTAGCAAGATTGGGTAACTCTGCAGCCATCCCAGATTCTACTGCTAAATTTCTGGACTCAGAGCCAGCCCCTCTGTACCCCCTAAGTCATGAAAATCTTCCCCAACATCTCTCCAAGCTCACCTTAGATACCACTTGCCCTAAGGTGCCTCCTCTGGGCCCCATGCCTCCCTCTGCATCATTCTGCCTGTCACTCATTTGGGGGAGAGGGGCAGGTGCTTGTTATCCTGCCAGTGGCATAATTATTTTGTCATGTTTTCTTGTTTGTCTCTCCAATTAGATAGGAAACTCATTAAAGACAAAGATCTCATGAGGAAGCATAATATCAGTGGCAGAGTGCGTGCAGGGCTTTGGGGATCCAGCAGACATGGGGTTGGATCTGGGCTCTGCTGCTTATTCTGTGACGTTGAGCGAATCCCTAGCATGTGAAGTTGGCATTTAGTATTTGCTGAATGGCTGCTGAGACTTAACCTTCTGAGCTGGTTTCTGCAACTGTGAAATGGAAGCAAATAGTAACACCTGCCCACTTCCCAGGTGACCTGTGAAAAGAGCCTGTCCAGAGAGTGGGCTTCCACAAGTGATTTTTGTCTTGCTATTCACACCCTTATTTATCTCTTGGCCTGCTCAGTGCAGGGCAAACAGTAGGAGAGCAGGCAGTGTCTGTGGATCCTGAGAACTCTCTCTTCTCCAACTTACACTTCTCAGCCTGTGTCTCCTCCCCTACCAGCCCTGCCCATGGACCAGAGGACCCTCCAGGACTCCCACCCCCCTTCCCCGATAAGCACTCCTTGGGTGGATTATTGAGGCCAAGGGGATCACAGACCCTTTTGATGCCCAGCCTCCTCTGAAAGGTCTCACAGCCAGCTCTCTATTTTCTCTATTTCCCCCCACCCCCTTCTAGGGTCCCTCATCTGACCCTCACCTCCAGGAGCCAGCAGAGGGAGCCCTGAACCCTGGGGCTGTGGGTGGGGGCGGAGGCGGCTGGGCCCGGGCCTGTGCCCGCCCGCCTGTCCTGTCCTGCTCTGTCTAACTCCCTAATTACTGCTCCCCCTCCCCCAGTCCCTACTCCCACCCCAACCACCACATCAAAGCCAGTGATGCCCCAGTTCCATTAACCCATGCCTCCCCACCACCCACCAGCCACCCTATTCCACCACCCCTCCCCACCCCACCCCAATTTGCTTCCCTGTGCCCTGTCCTGGACATTGCCCTTCCCACCTCCTCACACTTCTCTCCTTCCCATTCCTCTTGTATGGACTTCACCATACAAGAGGGCTTCCTATTGATCAGGGCTGCGGGAGGCCAAAGAGTAGACACATTGAACCTCCTATTGGATCCCCTGAGTTCAATCTGTGCCTTCTGCTCTCCCATACTTAGGTGGGGGCAGAGATGGGGGAAGCTCAGTACCCCTTTCCTGACTCCCACCCCCAATGGCACGCAGGGTGAGATCCTCAGCAGGAGGTAGGCTCCTGGCTCCCACCCTCAGCTGCCTACATTCTGTGTGGCCTCTGGCCATCTCCTACCCCTGGACTTTGCTGGACTTCTTACTGTAAGTGACAAGATGGGGCCAGATGATCTCTAAGTCTTTTCTCGGTCTAATTTCCGAATTAAATGGAGGGTTCAGAGCTGGAGGAACCAGCCTAAGAGGCCAGGTGGAAAACAGGAGAACCCTCCCAGCAACCTTTCCCTTCCTAAGGCAGTCCAGGCAGCACCTAAGGTCTCCTCCCATCCCACTGCAGGCAGGAAGGAGGGCGCAGGCTAGAGGACTCTTACCCAGTCCCCAGGGACAGGCTTCTGTTCCCCGAGTGCCTCCTGCTCTGGCTGGCTGGGTGCCCTGCTGCCAGCCTGACCCAGGCCTGGCTGCCTGCCCCGCCCTGGCCTCATCCCCTCCACAGCTGCATTTCTTCATCAAAGTACACATTTGAATCCCCCTCGCTGAGCCCTGGTGATCAAGCCTCCCACTGACCTCCCCCCACCAACTCCTGGCTTCTGATGAGAGCTGGGCAGGAGGGGGCTGGCACCTCCCAGGAAGTGTCACAGTGCCAGGACTCTGGTGGGCTCAGGGCATGCTCTGGCCCAGATTGAGCCAGCCTCCTTTTGCCCCTGCCCTTTTCTGCTCACAGCCCCATTGTCTTCCTCCAGGGAAGCTGCCAAGGCAGGAGGCCTGGAGGGTGGGACTGGATGACCACCCCACCCCCATCCCCACCGCACCCTGAGCTTGGCAGGGACCAGCAACAGGACTGCCCACAAAGGGTGAGGGCCCCAGATAAAGATGGGATGGGAAAGGGTGGCCAGGCCCAGCTTGGGGTGGGGGGTCACAGCTGGAAAACCCGGGTTTAAGGAAGGAGCCTTGTCTTTCCCCTGTCTCCCTGTGGGGCCAGATATGAGGCTATCTTAGGCCCATGGTTCCTGTTTCTATAAGGAAGGGGGTGGTGGTGAAAGGCAAGATGAGATGGGGGAATGGGGTGGGATTGGGTGGTGCTTTTCCCAGTGGAATAAGGGGAGGGTTAGTTTCTTTCATAGGAAATATAAAACAGAGAGAGGAAAGAGGAAGAGAGAAAAAGGGAGATTAATTTGGTGATTCTGTGAAAGTGAGCTATTTTCTACATCCACTAATTAAAGGATAAATACAGATGGGTCAGACATTAAGAAGAACTTTCGGGGTGGGACGGTCGGGGAACAGGTAGAAGGGAACTGGTGCCCTGGAAGCTATAGCCTCTCCCTCTCTCTGACTCATTCCCAAAATAGGACCTGTCAGGGTCAGCGCACTGGCTGGACAAGACAGCCTGGTCAGTGTCCTCGGATTCTGCAATTCACAAGGATACAGTTACAGATGTGAGAGAGGCAGGCAAAGAGGCTGGGGCAGAGTTTAGAAAGCATCAATTCCATCAAGGGAACAAGGGGGAGAGGGACAGAAGTGAGAGAAACCTTTGGAACCAGGAGCCAGGTCCCTGAGCCTATTCCAGGGCCGGAGCCACTCCACTCCAGAAAGGACCCTCCTCTCCTAACCAGGACAGTCCTGTCATTCAGAGTTCCTGGGGTCCGCTCTGCTCCCAGTCTGGCCACTGCTGGAATGTCCGAGCGGACTGCAGTGGGCTGCTGCAGGTCACTGCTTCCTCCTCCACCACTGGAGCCCTAACCTGAGAAGTAGGGAGAAGAGGGCCAGCAAGTAGGTCCTAGGCCTCAGAGAACAGCCTGGAAGTTCCTGGCCTGGAAAAGCTCCTGGCCAAAGTGAAGCTGGAGGGTGAGGGTGAAAAAGAATGGCAGGAGCCTCAGGCCACTTGGGCTGCTGGGTCTGGCCCATCAGCCCATTCCTGATCTTGGAGGGCAATGATGGGTGTGGTGGGAACAGGAGTGAAAGCAACCAGAGTCAAAGGTCCTGAGAAAGGGAATCTGGGCTCCGACCAAAAGAAAGAAGTATCAGAAACAGACAGAGGAGTGCGAAGGGCCAAGGCGGGCAGGAGAGGCAGGTTCTATCTGGGAAGCATCTGAGCGAGGCAGTCTCTGGACATCTTATCAGCCCAGCCCCTCACTCTTCACCCTGCTTGCCCTGCAGCTGTGGCCATGAAGGCCTCTGTGTTCTCCCACACCTGTCCTCCTCACCTCCTCCCCCACTCCTTGCTTCCCAGCTTCAGGGTCAGTCTCCAAAGGATCAGGTCTCCCTCCCTCTGGTCTGGCTCTTACCCAGCAACCCTTCCTGAACAAAGGCACCCCCACAGATACAAATCCCAGAAAGGTGAATCAACCAACCAGTAACACTCCATAAAACTGTCCCCAGCATGTTTAGCCTCCAGGGCCCCAAAAGCCAAGGCTCTGGTTTCCAAGACCAGGGAAGAGAGACACAAGAGGAGATGGTTGTCAAAATGCAGTATCTGGCATAGTTGCCCAATGCATGGGATGGTGCATTGGGAGCACAGAGAAGGCAAGGGAGAGAAGACAGAGGGACAGCTTCCTGGAGGAAGTGTCATTTTAATTAGAAGGATGAGAACAATTTTGACAAATGGAGAGGGAAGGGAGGTAAGGCAACAGCTATCAGGGAGAAACCCCTGTCCCACCCTGAGAAAGGGCAAAGTTAAGAAAGGTTTTGGAGAGCAAAAGAGAGACCCCTTTACAAAGTGTTGCTTGGGACCCTGGACTTTAAACTTAAACAAATATCCCTTTACACCCAGGAGGTCTCTGGCCAGGAGAACCTGGGGTGTGGAGGAGGGAACTACATTTAAGGAGTACCTCCCAATGTCAGATAACTTAGCAAATTATCCCACCTAATGCTCTGACTAAGCCTGCCAGGTAGAAGGATTGTTTCCCTGTTTTATGGTTGAGACGTTGCGGGGGGGGGGGGGGGGGGGGGAAAAAGGAC